AATGGCAAAGAAACCCCCCCCCCCCCCCCCCCCCCCCCCCGTTGGCTTCCGCACCCAGGAATACCATGCAGTTTCTGCATTACCATGCGCAGTAACTGCCAGAACTCCGCATTAGCATTAGCGCTCTCCCTCGCTCTGTGGCCTGTGCTGGCAGGACCTCTGCTCACGGTACAGCGTGTTTTTATGTGGGACTCGGAGGCCCCCAGGGGTCGGTGTGTCTGCCGGTCAGTCCGCACAGGAGCCGCCGTCGCTCGGCGCTGCCTATCGCGGCTTCCATTCGTGAGTCAGGTAATTGACTCAGACGGACAGGCTGTTCCTGCCAACTTGATCTGAGAATCCCAGAAGTTTGAGTGGTTGTGTGGTGCTGTCTATCCACTCCAAATGCCGCCCCCCCCCCCCCCCCCCCCCCCCCCCCCCCCCCCCCCCCCCCCCCCCCCCATTACGCCACCAGTCTGACATGCATAAGGTGGTCATGTGATTGTACTCTCTTTATTATGCATTGATATTTAATTTTGCATTTCTAATTTAAAAGATAGAATAATTTTAAATGATGAAATCGAAGTACAGATGTCTGTCTTGCACCAGCTAATTCAGAGCCTGCTTTATTGTCTGAAGCACGGGGGGGGGGGATTTAGCATCGTTAGAATCCTTTATTTGGGTCAGACGGTGGTTATGTAATGACTGTTGTTCCGTAGGCTGCTACCCCTGCCCTGGACCCAACTTGAACCCTGTTGCCCTGGGGGGCCGCTGGCTGGCCTACGCGGAGAACAAGGTGGGCTTCCGGGCTGGAAACGGGCCCAGCCGGGCGGCCCGAGCGAGCAGCAGCCCACACCGCATCTGGGTCACGGACTCCCGCTTTTTATACGGACAATAATAAAATGTATTTTATTATCGTCGTATAATCTGTCTACGTAAGGCAGGCACCTTGGGAGAAGCCTTAAAAAGTCAGGAATGTATTAAAAAAACAGGAAAATGGTAGAGGGATGGATAATGGCGGAAGTCAGATTTAAGGTTTGGTTAGCAGACGGCCGGATGCTTAACAGGCTTATTTTGGGGTCTGTGAGGGAAGCCGGCCTCTATTTTCCCATTTGCCTGGACATGGAGGGGGGGGCTTCTGAGCCTCTGCCTAGGTAGTGCGGTGTGGGAAATCGGTGCGTAGCTGGAAAGTGGAATGAGATCTGGTTGAGGATGTAGAAAGGGGGGGCACGGGGGGGCAGGAGCTGGGTGGGGGTGGGGGATGGTTATAGGGAGTTGTCTTAATGTGTTCCAAACCCCAACAGACAGTTGGATGCAGACTGAAGCAACCGCCCCCCCCCCCCACCTCCTTTGGGCTAATGACTGGCGGGGTTGTAAATGCTTGAAGCGCCTGGCAATAACAGTGTCTGTGTCAACCCCCCCCACCCCCCACCTGTACAGCTAATCCGGTGCCACCAGTCACGCGGCGGGGCCTGCGGGGATAACGCCCAGTCCTATACCGCCACCGTCATCAGCGCCGCCAAAGTAAGTCCCCCACCGCCGCGTCTTCGAGACGTGACTCACACAGCCTGGGGGGCTGCGGGGCAGGGGGGTGGGGGTCACGGGACAAGTGTTCTTTCACTTTGTCTCCCTGAATTCTCTTCCTCTTAATTGCTCCTACATTTCCTGGGACTATATGCTGTTTGCCCCCCCCACCCCCGTTCTGGGTGCCTAGTGTTTGGGGCCCCAGCTCAGCTCGCGGCCCCTCGTCACCTGACCTCGCTGGAGCAGGGCTGTCCCCTTCCATTGATGCGGCAGCAAAAGGGGGGACTCCCCCCACCCCCCCCTGCCCACCCCATATGGTTTGGGTCTGTTGACCCAGAGGTAGTTAATTGATTTATTAGTGCTACATCTGTATTCCCCGGCCACCTGATCGCCCCCTAATGAGGTCTAACGGCTTACGTGAGAGAAGCACCATTAGCCCTAATGGTGACATGCATCAAACGGAGCATGCTGAAGGTTAGCGGCCAAAACGAGGTTACGGGGCCTGTGCGGAGACAGGCCGTCTGCGGCCCGGCCCTCATTTATAACCATATCCCAGCCTGTGACACCCCCGGCCGCCCGCTTGCCCGCCCCTCTGCCTCGGCCCTCTCTGTAATGGGGGGATCTTGAGTATGTCAGGGCTGCCAGTGTGCCCCCCCCCCCCCCCGACTGAAGCCCCTGTAAGCTAATGATGAGGGAGGCTATAAGCGAAACGCCTTCAGGCTGTGTGCTCCAGGTTGGGGTTGAGAGGCATCTTTCTGTTTGGTGGCAGGGGGGTTTAGAGCTTTTGTGGGCCCCCGGTGACCCTCTGACGGGCACCTGCTCGGGCCGGTGGCACGCCCCCCTCCACTGTGTTGTGCCAAAGTTTTAGTGACTGTGGCAGCTCTGGTAACTGCCTAAGAGAGGGCTTTCTTCTTGCCTGAGTTAATGGAGTGATTAGGGGGGTGCTTTGGGTCGGGGCTGAGGCCACTGCGGGGCTATGGGGGGGGCCCTCATCAGGCATTCAGGCTCTGGGAGCGCCGTCGATAGCGCGTGGCGCCTGCGGCTCCTCGACAAGCCACTAACAGACTGTGTGTAAATTGCCGGCCCATCAATTATTAAGAGAAAGCGTTTGCCTCCTAATTGATCAACGCTAATGTGTTTTCTAATCACTGCAGTTTGAGTTTTCAGCGCTAATCAAAACAGTGCCCCATTGATCCGCGGGGCGGGCCTAGTGGCAGACTGCGTGGCCCAGACCGGCCCCGGAGCCCGTCAACTCTGGGGGCCTCAGCTGCCGCTGCTCTCACTGCGCGCCCCGTTTGACCCATTTTCACTAATTCCAGTTTCTGGGAATGTTTTTCCTGAAGGTGCATGCGAATGGTCACCCTGGGTGCCATAATCTCCATGATGGTCTTTATGTCCTGCTTTTTACTATGAAGTCTCTGCTGAGGTCATCTGGGCAACTTCAGCTGATTAAACTAGTCGCTCCCGGCTGTTTCGTGGCATTTTCGCTAAGTCTTTGAAGTCTTTTTTTTTTTTGTTGTATCATACGGAGCTATTTGTCATCCCCAGCTAAACAGGCCTCCTTCTATCTCCCTCCTGACAGACACTGAAGTCCGGCCTGACGATGGTGGGCAAGGTGGTGACGCAGCTGGCTGGCACTTTGCCCACAGGGGTCGCAGAAGAGGAGACGGCCGCGCCCAGCGCCGCCCGCCGCAGCCCCCATGTGTCCGGCGTCGTCACCATCATCGACACGCATTCTGTCGGGGAGGGTCAGGTACGCTGCCCGCGGCGATCGAACGTCTCCTGTTTTGATCCTGTGGTAACACTTTGCTACAAGGGGGCGGAACCATCCGGGTGCCAGGTCACGTGACTCGGGGATGCTCCCCTACACGGCCCTGGCACCGGGCCGCCTGCGGCATGAGATTAGCGAGGCCAGTGGAAACGAAGGTGAGGCTTGTTTACGAGGCCTGCCTGTGTTCTTCAAACATATTAAATCTGTATGGAAAAGAACACTTTTAGCCAAGTAAATGTTTTTTTTTTCTTTTCTCCCCCTGCAAACTTTATACTGCTTGTGGGTAACCAGAAACTGCTACCAGGCTTTCAGTTCCTGTGTAAGATCTTTAATGGAGTGTCAGATTTATGAGCCAGTTTAAATGTTTGCAGTTTTTACATATGGGTTTTGTTTTTTTACTCAAAGAAAAGGTTAAGTCAGAACAGATTTTTTTTTCTTCTTCTTTTTTTTTCTCATTTCTTCAGATATGACCTACAGAAAGAGACCTTTAGGTTTGTGGGTTGTTAAAAACCGGTGTAGGTTTAACCTTTTTATTTGCCCTTAAGAATCAGGTTATCCCCACGTGTAAACGCCGACCGGACCACACACGGCACAGCCACTCAGAGGTGTGATTTACTTCGCCAGCTCCCGCGTTCTCAGATCATGGACGCTGGGTTATTTTTACGTGTGTAAATACGAGGCTCTGTTGATGTGCCGCAGACCCTCATCTACCTCACAAGAAGCCGGCGGTGAGTCCGCGAGCGTTCCCTTTTCATCGCCTGTGGACCGCTTTGGGCCCTGGGGGGCCGCCAGCACGTCCACGCCGCGGCCTTGCACCACAGCGCCGCTCTGATCCAGGCGGTCTGCTTTCGGTCCACCGGCGGCCTGAAACCGGCATATTCCGGTGGGCGGAGGGGGGCGCAGGCCTGCACTTTGTCATTAGCGATTTTGCAAAATGAAGCCCTACAGATAAAGGGAGGCAGGAGGCATGGGCTCTGGAGGACGCCGCATTAAAACCAAGGTCCGGATGGTGGCTCCCCTCCATCATGCCAGCCCTCATTTGGGCCGGCGCTGCCGGAGCTGTGATTGGTGGGCGGGGTTAGGCTGGCGACCCCTGAATTTGGGCGCCAAGCCCCCTGATCTCCGCTGTAATAGGCTTACTTTCCAAAGGTAGTCCGACACTAATTCCTTTTCAAAGGGAACAACAGGATTCCCTTACAGAACAACATTGTCTGTGTTAGCCTTAATAAACGGGGTCTGGTTTGTGTCAATGAGACATTTTTTGGTCTGAAATAAATGTCTCCGTTTGAGGGCAGGGCTGTTTTTTGTTTTGGGCTGGATCCTATTAAAAGCAGCCGCCGCTTAATGCGACACCCGGCTGGATTTATCACTGTTCGCCCTGCGTGGCTGCGGTCTGGCCTTAGTTATATCCGTCGTCTCCTTCATGGCGAACGTAACAAAGCCTCCTGACTGGAGGACGGCCCCTTCCCGGGCTTCCGCTCCCAAAGGTAGGCTTGTTTTCTGTACAAAGCATGACAAAATAATTTGGGGGCGGGGGGGGGGTCGGCTGCCCCCACCAGGCCTTAAGCCCTTTGCGGGGTTACATTATTGATCTCTCTGGGACAGTGTGGCGCAGGGGCCGGCAGTCTGCTCCTCCTTCGCAATTGGTGCCGTCTGGACACTCAGCGCCCCGTCCGGGCCCCATTGCCTTTAATGAGGCCGATGATGTTGATCCCCCCCCCCCGCAATTCGCCCCTTAGCCTCAGTCCCATTAGCATGAGCATCTCTAGCAGTCGCTCTGTAGCCCCAGCCCAACCCCCCCCCACTGGGAGTGAGTGTTATGTTCCCGGTCCTCCATCATGTAACGTTCTGTTCCTGCCAGCACATTCTGTTTGCGAGGGCTGACGTTCTCGCCGCTCACGTTCTCGCCGCTCACGTTCTCGTCGCTCACGTTCTCGCCGCTCACGTTCTCGCCACTCACGTTCTCGCCGCTCACGTTCTCGGTTCCGACTGAGCGTGGTAACTTCAAGAGCTGAAGTATCTGGGGCCACATTTGTCCACTACGAGTATCCAATAAACATTCCAGGGGTAAATAAAGTGTCTGTTTGTCTGTCTATCTATCTAGTATATTAATGCCAAAGCCATCTGGGTTCTGCCATCCACTAGGGGGCAGTGTGTTCCAATGACGGCATATTGATTTTAAAAAATCTGTACGTATTAACTCACAGTAGTTTGTATGTGTAGATATCATCACAAATTCTACCCATGGTGTCATGCACGTGTGAGAGAGAGGTTGTCGGCGGAATGAGGCAGGTTTTGGGTTTGGGTCTTACTCAACGTGCAATGGCGTGTGTTTGTGTGTGTTTCAGGTCCTGGTCAGCGAAGACGCTGACGGGGAGGGTGTGGTGGCTCATTTTCCGGCCCATGACAAACCCATATCCTGCATGGCGTTCAACCCCAGCGGTGAGTGGCCGGAGGGGGGGGGGTTGGGCTGGGGGCGTGGGAGGGGCCTGGCAAAAAAAACAAAAAGGTTATATTCATTCGCTTGGTAAACAGTTGGGGTTGCCACGGCGACTGTACCAGCTGCCCTCGTACAGTGGATGTCACTGCCTGGGCTCTGCTGGCCCGGTGCCCCTGACCCCAGGGCGACCCTGTTCTGGGGACCGTGGGGACTGTGATGTGGGGCTTCTCCGCAGGTCAGTGAGGGGCCTTCGCCGCCGCCCGCTGGTGGCCTGCGGTTCACACTTCAGAGGCCCCGTCCGACACCTGCTGCGGCCAGGCGGCCCCGTGGGCTTTTGGGAAGGGTGGGACGGGGCCGTGTCAACAGTATCTACTGTCTCTGGCCTGTGGGCCCCTGCTCGGGTTTCCGCGGCCCCGCATCCTCACGGCAGTGTCTCCCAGGCCAAAGCCGGCCGGCCATGCCCCGGACGTCTCTCTGATGTGGCGGCTCTGAGCCCAAATGCCCCCTGAGGGTGTTTCGCACAAACGTTCATTTTTAGCGGCTTCGGGGCTGGGGGAGAGCGGGAAGGGGCACAGGTCAAACCCATAATTCATTTTAAATGCCATTGCTCCTGTTACAACACGGTTTAGGGTGTAAAAACGCAGTTAAAGTGGGAAAGTATCGACCTATCCAGTAAGGAAAGGGGCCACCGGGGCTGTGCAGTGGGACTGTGCAGTGGGACTGTGCAGTGGGACTGTGCAGTGGGGCAGTGCCCGTGTTGTTTGCCCGCTGTTCCTGCTTTGATTATGATGGTCTTTTGCTCACTCTGCACCATGATGGTACAAAGGCAGAGCAGTGGCTGGTTAATCGCTTAGCAACCGTACTGCATTTCAAGCATGGATCTCGCTTAAGCAGCCCTGTCTTTGGGTGCTGCATAAATGTGCGACGTGGGAGAGAGACAAGCGTCCAGCGAGCGAGGGAATTAGGATCATGGGCGTCTTACCGTGTGAGATAAGGCAGCGGTGTGGGAGCTGGAGGTGACCTCAGTCTCCTCACACGCTTTGAGGTACCGTGGCACCATTTCTGCACTCCTCTTGCAGCCAAAAAAGTGAAAACTTTTCCGGGTTGTGTGTTTGCTGCACCTCCACTTCTCTTCTTTGGATGCTGTGATCTGATATCCACCACAGAGCCCCCAGGGTTACACTATGCTCCCCAACCCCCCCGCCGCCCAGAGCCTCCTGGCCTAGCTGTTACCCCCCAGCTTACTCTCCTCGGTTACAGGGCGACACGCATTCGCACTCTTCAAAATGATGTAACTTTTCATCGTAGTGTCCGCAGCTTTGGTTATGAAATAGCTACGATTAATTTTAGCATGACATGACTTGCACCTGTGTGCAGGTCCTGGTAATGAGGTTCTCTCACAAGAGCTGCCTCCTTAGCAGCCTCCAGTGACCCTTCCGCCACATGCGACTGGGCCAGCTGTAGGGGGCGCCGTTGGTCAAGGTTTGCGACGGACCGATCTTTTTGCCCACCAGCCCGAAAGGAGCCAGAGTGCGCGGTAGGCAAACCAAGCCCCTCGGTGGTCCGTTCCGCTGCCACTCCAGTGCAACACGAGTGGTCAGTGTCCCTGCAAATGGCATCCAAGCTGAAGAGAGTCATTTTATTAAGTCAGATGCGTCGCCGTGTTTGTGAGCGGCCATTAGTCCCAGACAAGCGGCTTGGAGGCACTTTGAAAGAGAGTAGCATTCTGCGATCTTAACATCCCGAAACAATTACCATGAGATCAAAAATGTTCCCCCGATGTACAGAATCTTCCGTGGAAGCGGCTGCCATGTTGCTGAAACCGAGTGAGAGTTTTGTGCTGTAATGTGTGTCAAGGTGCCAGGGTGTTGCCGTCCCCCCCCCGCCATCCTGGTGCCTGCTGTCCCCAGGTCAGGTCCGCGCCTGCCCGCCGTCGCGTGCGCCCCTAGCCGAGCGGTCCACAGGCGGCTGGCTTAGATGGCAGCGGGGAGCCCCTGGCTTCAAAAGCGCGACCTTCCAACTGTCAGGTCTGCTTAAAAATAATGGGCCGTGTCTGTTGTCACCTCATTTCGCCCCGAGCGCGAACGCGGAAGGACCTCAGTAATTGTTTTGAGTTATGAAATTCGTTTGGTAGGAGAAGGAGAAGGGGCGGGGGGGGGAGCCCCCATAGGCCTTTGGGGACGGCTTTAAAGGCCTAACGAGGTCGGTATGCGGCGGTAAGTCCCAGGCCGCTTACACGCACCCTCTGCAATTTGGTCGCCCCGTGCGCGGCGAGACCTATATAATCAGAGAAGCGCGGCAGCACCGTGGAGTGAATCCGCGAGAGGAGCAGCGAGACGCGCGGCTGTAATTAGGCCAGGATCCGCGCTTCTTATGAGGCGCCGGGAAACCGCATACCCCCCCCCCCCCCCCCCTCGGGGGCCGCTTGGAGGGGGGGGGGGACAAAGGTCAGAACCAAACGGAGCAGACTCCAGACGGGGGCAGAGTGGCGAAAGCTTCCCAAAAGTTATGTAAGAAACACGGCTGGATGTGTGTGTTGGAGAGACAACAGAGGAGACTGGGGAGAAGATGGCAGGCGGGCCGCTGGCACGCAGGCCCTGCTGTTGGGGGGCTATTCATAGCACAGTAATTAAAGGATGCTGTTAAGTACAGTTGCGAACCGTCCCCTTCGGCAGCTGCAATCAGTTTGTTTTCTCCCCCCCCTTCCCCTCCCCCTCGCCCTGCTTTACTTGTTTATTAGCTGCGACTCCTAGGTCAAAATTAAACAAATATTTTAATGGTGGGATCTACGGCGGGGTCACTGCCTGGTGTGGTCGCGGCCCAGCAGGGCGGCGCCGTGAGCAGCCAACAGCTCAAGTCACCCGGGAGACGCACTTGCTGATTCCTCCCAGTCACGCGACCGATAGGCATCAGAGCATCGCCCCCCTCTGTTGCAGATTAGCGAGTGTCTGTGGCCAGCACTTATAGGGAGAGACCCCGCCCCCCCCCCACACCACCCTAACTCTGCGAGTGCTGTGCATGTGAACCTGACAGTCCTGACCAGGTGGAACCAGCTTCAACCAATCAGGGGAGAGTGGCCAGTTAAATTTCTGCCATCAGACCCCTGAGCACAGCCAATCAGGAGAGTTTGCTGGCAGCTCTGGGTGGAGCTTAGTATGGCAGTCAAAATTTTGCATCAGAAGGTTGGTGATTTAAGTTCCAGTCAGATTGATCTCTTCGTATCCTTAAACAAAGCCCTGTGGAATGGCAAAGAAACCCCCCCCCCCCCCCCGGGTCTTCTGTTCTCAGGACAGTGTGGAATCCGAGGTTGCCAGTTCGCCTGTCCCAGAAGGAGAGAGTTGGGTGTGGGGTGTTCTGCTGAGCTTGATACAGGGAGCTGGGAGATTCGGAGGGATCCCATCAGGGGTGTGAGCTCCGTTTCACAAAGCCATTACCTAATCTGCTGATATTCCTACAGTACATGCCTGTCTGTGCCAGCTGTAACACCAGGTACCCCCAGGCCCCAGTTCCCCCGTCCTGCTGCAGTGAAGCTGACCTCCCTCCCTCCCTCCCTGCCTGCCTGCCCCGCCCTCGCGCCCCGGTTGACAAGATCCCCCCGCTGGGCCTTCTGGTCCGCAGCAGGCGGCGTCCTGGAACACAAACACTTGTTTGTTTGTCAGAAAGCACCCGTGCATTCTCTCAGGACGGGGATATAATGCGAACGTGGCGTTTTCCGTACGCCTGTGAGGTCCCGGCGCTTCCCGCAATCCCTTAACATTCCACAATCCCGTTTACTTTGGACATGTTTATTTATTAATATTTGTTTGTTAGTTTGGTGTGGCCCGGTCATCAGGAGCCGCAGCTTTTCGGGGGTGATCTGCCACTTGCAGGGCTGTTGTTAAAGGCCTGGGTCCTGAGGGCCCCTCTGAGGGCCCCTCTAATGCTCACAGGGTGGCTCCAGAAGGACGGTATTGGTAAATGTGCCGCCTCGCCGGCCCCAAACTTGATTTTCCAATAAACATAAAAAAATGGAAGGGGAGACTCCCCCATGCAGGCTGTTTGCCCTTGTGGAGTCCTTTAGATCCCACACAGAGTACTGACTGCATTTGTTATTTCTTGTTTGTGTAGGAGGTGGGGGGGGTGGTGGTGGTGGCAGATTCCTCCCTGACAGCTGTCCAGATGTTCGAGTCCCCCATGCCGATTGGACCGTTTGCGTCTTGCCGGAGTCGTTCCGGCGGACGAGGCTTCCGTCGCTCCGGCCCAAGCCCGGCAGGGGGGCAGATGTGAGCGGGAATAGACAGGGGGGCCCAGAGGAATCCGGCTTTGCCATCCAGCTGAACGACGGCTGCTGAGGCAGCGCGAAACTGTGAAATCTGCTCTGCTGCGGCGAATGTTTGAGGGGATTAATTAGCAAACCGGGCGCGCTCTCTCCCATTGAGCGAAGAGCGTTTAAGGCCGGATGACAATGTCCCCCGCTTTCCTTTAGCCTAAAACAGGATTAGTCTTCTCTTCAGCTCTGTGTACAGTCCGGCTCTTATCGGGAGATTGTGGTTTGACAATTTGTTTTGGGGGCTTTGAAACTTAATGCACAAAAGACCTCCCTGAACTCCGCTGAGCCTCGGTGAGAATGCCATGCCGCATGGCCTCGTTACTCGTCCGAAATTAAATGCTGGGGGGGGGGGCTGGATGGACAGAAAAGAAAGGTGCGGCCTGGGAGTGTCTGAAGTGGCCCGGAGTCTCACTGGTGTCACTGATGTCCTCGGTGGCCGGTGATGCGTGCATCTGGGCAGGAAGGGCTCTGGCTTCACTCTGGTTCAGGCTCTGTGAACTTGGCCTCCTGCTCACCTCCCTTGCAGGTCTGTGGGTTTGAAGGCGGCCCGTTTGAACTGTTAGTGCCAGCCGCTTCTTAATAATAAACTAATTACCGCCTCTTGGCAAGGAAAGCGCTTTTCAGTCTATTAATATCTAAGAGAGTGCTGGTGGTCTTGCTGTGAAACAGATATAAAAACATACTCCTTTGTTACACTTCACTGTATATGGAACGACCCCTAATCGCTCCATTTTTTTGTTCTTTTTTTTCCTTCTTTGAAAAGCCTTAGTTGAATAGTAGATGTGGTTCTGAGCAAAGTGGACCGAGACTTGTACAAGTTGTAGTGCCCACAGGAACAGTATGTATTGTGCCCAGATGTGTGCCCAGACTAACATGGCACGAACCCCGCCTCACCCACCCTCGGCGGTCCAGTGCCAACGGAGTGGACGTGGTTCTCGCCACGCGATCGCTGGCCCACGCCGCAATCAGACCTCCTGTCAGCTGCAGAGGGCGTTACGTCAGGAAGCCTCATCCTCGTCGTCACGTGACTCGGCCTCTGTGCACATAGCTCTCCCGACAACCTCACTTTGAACATTGTGGAGTCTATGTGGTCCTTCTCAGGCCATGGAAAACAAACAAAGAAAAACGTAACAGGAACAGCCTCGAAATTACCTTAACGTGATTGCGTTGGAAAGCTACAGATGTACTCGCTTTGTCTGTAAAAGATTAGTGGGCTCTCGCCCGCGTGGCGACCTAGGGAGCGCGTTAACCCCTGCGCCCATTGTTGTCACCATGAGGGGGGGGGACAAGGTCCTGGATTTTCCAGTAAGTCTGTCCCAGCTCTGGATGGATGCGCTGGGTCCCCTCCCACCAGGAAGCGATGTTCCGCGAGCGGGAACGCCGTGGCGAAGCCGTCTCTGCTGGTGCTGCTGCTGCTTTTCAGTTTTTCCTTTAAATTTTTCGCTCAGAAGCATCTACAAGTTGAATGCAGTCAGATTCCCCAGTGCCTACCGCTTATTACTCAATTCCCGTCTTATGAAAAGGCACGTTGACTATTTGACGTTTTCGTGCATTCGAAGCATCCTCAAGCTGACTGGCGTTAATAACAATGGCATCCACGCTCATCCACGCTCATCCCGCTCGTCGCAGCCGCCCCCCCCCCCCCTTCAACCGCCATTCCCCGGCAGCTCCGCCTCTTTCGAGGTAAAACATCCTGCAAGAATTAATGGGATTTAGCAGATGTTTTTTGTTTACGGGGTTTGCAAACATGTGACATCAGGACTACAACAAAACAAGACGATGCAAAAAACCTGGATGCAATTTTCTCCTCCTTGAGTCGCCGTATTTATGGAAATTATAATATTACCAGGCCACGTCCATCCAGACATGTGTCTCGAACACATGTTAAATGAGGGGGTCTCACCTCGACACCCTTGGCAGTCGATTTACTACGGTACCAGCGCAGTAAATAACACGTCCATGCAGGCGCGAGGTGTTATAAATAGGATGTATCAGAAGTTGTTGGAGCATCTCAGTTTCCTGAAATGTTTCACCACCTAACCAGCGCTGAGAAGGCTGCTTTTTAATTTAGCCTGCCAGGCCTGACCGACTGACGCCTCTCTGTAAGGCCTTGTATTTCAACAAGGCCGCAAACTCTGGGCTCTGGCCTCTTTGGGCTTTCGGGGAACCCAGTGTACCATCAGCAAACTTGTGTCTCTGCATGCCTTCCAAGCCTCATCTGTCAAAGCCCACGGTGGGTGAGTGGGGTGGGGGGGAGCGGGTGTATGGTGAGGGGGCGCCGGGGTAACCAGTGGGGGGGGGGGCGTGCTTGAGAGGAAGCTCCCAGATAAACATTCCGCAGTGCCTTAACTCCTAATCACTCCGTGCTTCCGTTTCCAGACTCTATAATTAGAAGTCTCTCTTTTCCATGTATTCCCAGTTGACGCAAATACTCCTTGTGGCTTGGCACCTCATTTGGGGCGTGGGTTTAGTTTATAGCCTGGCCGAAGCCTGCTTTAGTCTTCTGATACTGCACAAATAGCTAACCACCGTCTAATTCTTTAGCTTTCCCGCTTCCTTTTCATGTGTGCAGTCTCTGCATGATATCACA